GATGACATACTAGTTACCGAACCATAAATAAAATACGTTTAAAAATAATTTCACTCTATCCTACCTCACCCCCTCCCTCACAACACCGGCCCCTTCCCCCTCCCCTCTGCGCATTTTTCTTGTGTACACAATTAAATTCCTCATCTTATAAAGTCAGAGTATACTAGCCTTCAATTTTTACACTAACCTTTGGATTTCATACATATACTTCGATTTTTAAAAATTAAATACAGTAGACGATTTTGCGGTTTCAAATATTTTAATATTTTAAAATATTAGTTTTTCACTTGTTTTTGGAGCAAGATTTTTATAAAATATATGTTATAAATCTATAGATTAAATTTCATATACATACATTTGAATAAATTAATAATTAATGCATGTTTATATACACTTTTGCAGATAATGCCTGATTTCAAAAGTATTTATCTACATTCATAGTTATAAATACTGTGAAAAAAGGCATTATCTCCATTTTGGCCCCCTTAATAATAAAATTAATCAATGAAAAGTGTGTGGAAAATTTTTTAATAATATATCTAAGCAAACCATAGTTTAACAAATTTGAAATCATTTGTACTTTTCTTGGGAAAAACTCAAACACGTTTGCTCATTTACTCAAAACTATGATTTTGTTACTTAATGCCTTTTCTCAGAGCAGGGCAGAATAGGTAAGCAGTATTCTAATGCTCCTTCCACGAAAGCTTTATTAGTCGTGTTATCTACACAGTTAAACAAATTCTCATAATATTTAGCCCAATGATTACATATGTTATTCTCACCACTAACATCAATAACCTCAGATACATTAGATCTTGAGTCATTAATAAATTTAACACCTTCCCAAAAGCCATGGTAATCCTTGTCACCAAGTGACTGAGCCAACTTATCAGCCCTAAGTTGTTCATCATTATTCTTACACGTGCGTAACGCTAACTTAAAACGAGGTCGAGACATTCTCATTGAGTGGAACAGTGGCCCATCTCTAGGTTTACCATTGGTTCTATTCGATTCTTTATTCTCAACCAACAGTGTAAAACACCAATAATAGGTTGAAATAAAATTTTCAGTAAACAGAGCATAAATATATACAATACAAATTAAAAAACGAGTTCATTAATAATACTTTTAAAAGTAATTACAGTTAAAAATATCCAAAAAATTATTCTTTAAAAGACAAGTGTTATAAGCTGACGAAATTCTACGGAAAATACCATTTTTACAAACATTTACACAAGAATATTTAACATGAAGAAAAGGTTTATAACGAAGATTACGAACAGGAACATTAAAATGAAACATAGATACAAGATTACATTTAAATTTAGAGTTAAGACATTTGTACAAAAAGTATAAATCCTGTCTTGCTCTCCTAGACGTCGGAGAAATAATAGGAGGCCAATTGGCTGCTGGGCCGATGAAGCGCAAGAATTTTCTATGGATTCGATCTATTCTGGAAACTTGGGAAGCAGAGAGAGAGAGTTATACTGAGCAAAAATCGAGTGATGGTTGGATAAGAGATAAGTAAAGTGCACGTTTTGTGTGTGGAGAGAACTGAATGCAATTGCGCCACATTAGCCCAAGCAATTGATTGGCCTTTTTAACAATGTGGTCAACATGTGAAATAAATGTCAGTTTACGGTCAATAAAAATGCCGAGGTTATGATAGGAATTTACACTTTTAAGGACCTCACCATGAACAGAGTAAGCAAAAGTAATAGGTGTATTCTTAAGAGAGCAAGACAGGACTTTGCATTTATCGGACTTCAGGGACATTTTCCAGTCGGAAACCCATTTCCAGATCTGCCTGGAGTGCAATGGAGTCCTCAATGGTGGTAATGATTTTATATATCTTGAGGTCATCAGTGAACATAAGACAGCTGGAATTTGGGAAAATATTAGGTATTTCATTAACAAAGATGTTGAAAAGAAGGGGGGCTAGAATTGAGCCTTGAGGAACTCCTGAGAGGACTGGGAGAGGGTTTGAAGTAGCACCTTCAAATACTACTCTCTGGAACCTATCGCTCAAGTAACTTTTAAACCAGGATAGTAAGTTACCGCTAATGTCAAATTGATGCAGTTTTAATAATAATAACTTATGGGACAGTTTATCAAATGCTTTACTGAAATCAGTGTAAATTATGTCACATTGATTTTTAGTTTCAATGGCTTCATATACGGTAGATAGAAGTGTAGCAAGAGGTTCTCCAAAGAAGGAAGGCTTCACGAGCAATACAATGTAAATCGGAAACATAATCATTCCAACCCGGTACAATATTATATGATCTAGATTTAGAAGGCTTCAGACAATCACTAGATGCACATTTAAGACAAGTAACAATATTGTTGTAAAGGTCATCGATAGCAAAACAATGACGTTCATTTTTACAGTTAACATTATTACAAGATAACAAATCTGGGCATATTTTAACATTACTAAGTAGAGATTCAGTGAAGGAAGAATATGAGTCAATATCATTAGCATTTACCTTACTCCAATTTACATATTCATGTCTAAATTTACTGTCATTATCA